ATGTGTGTAAATGTATCTAAATTGTTGAATTCAACAATATTTAATTATAATTATCTTCATCGAATAAAATATTATCAATTTCCATGTGTTGAAAATCTGAAATTAAAATGTTTTTATGATGAAAAACATATGTGTATTTGTGATAAAAATCGATATTCAAATTGTTTTGATTATAATCATAATATGATTTATAATTGTCGAGGATATAATTATTGTCAAAATAATGGAAGATGTTTTCAAGATAATGCAACTTGTCCAACAACAACGATGTGTATGTGTGAAAAATGTTATTATGGAAATAAATGTCAATTTAATACAAAAGGTTTTAGTTTATCACTTGATGCAATATTTGGTTATCATATTAAACCATTTATATCATTTTTTAAACAATCAAAATCAGTTAAAATAACGGCAACATTAACGTTTATTATGTTTATAATTGGTGTTATTAGTGGACTATTATCAATATTAATTTTTCGAAAAAAATCTTCAATGATAGTTGGTTGTGGAATTTATCTTTTAGCAACATCAATTACATCATTATTAACAATCATTATTTTTACAATAAAATATTGGCAACTTATTTTTTTTCAAATGAATCTTATAACAAATCGTTCATTTCTTTATATGAATTGTTTATTAATTGATATGTTATTAAAATTTTTTCTTAGTTCAGTTGATTGGTTAAATGAATGTGTTGCTATTGAACGAGCAATTACTAGTCTTCAAGGAATTAAATTTAATAAATTAAAAAGTCGATATATAGCTAAACGTGTTATACCAATAATATTCTCTTTAACAATTCTTACTTATATTCATGATCCAATATCTCGTCAATTATTTGATGATGAAGATGAACAACGAACATGGTGTATTGTTAAGTATTCATTTCGATTGAAAATATTTGATAGATTTATTAATCTATTTCATTTTTTAACACCATTTATAATTAATTTTCTATCTAGTTTGATTATCATTATTAAAGTATTTAGAACTCGAACAAAAACTCAAAAGAAAGTAAAAAATACAACTCTTTTTTATGTTCAAATCAAACGACACAAACATCTTATTATTGCACCATGTATTTTAATTCTATTAGCTTTACCTCGTTTAATAATATCATTCTTATCAAAATGTATGGAATCAACTCGTGATCCATGGCTTTTTCTTAGTGGTTATTATATTTCATTTATTCCATCATTACTTATCTTTGTAGTATTTGTATTACCTTCAAAAAAATATAAAGAGGAATTTCTTATTCTTATAAGAAAAAAACCTCGTACGACGCAATAGAAATGCAACATTTGTTTGTTTACTATCGGTATATATATATACATATTTGCTTATGTCTTTCTTTGTAAGCTATTTGTTCAGTGTTGTCTTATTTCTATTCATTTATTATTTATTCGTTTTTTTTTGTTTATTTCGTTTTTCTTGATTTCGTATTATATTCATATCTTTTAACCATTGATTCAACTGAAAAATAACTCTTTTGTACAAATCTATTGATGAACATGAAGAGAGAATTCACAAAGTTACTTTCTCTCTGGTCATCATTCAGCTCTCACCCTCCGCATAGTAGATAGAAAAAGAATGTCAAGAACAATTCTTTTAACGATTGGTATTATCAACTTAATATTTTGCGTACATACAGCTGGCACTTGATACTGATTATCTGCACTAATCCAGACTTTCTCATTCGAAAGATTCCTGGAAAATGAAGTTTTCAGCTTTCGAAAACTGCGATTTAGTATAATAAAAAGTAATCATTCCACTATAATGCTTCTCAGAAGACGGAGAGAGCAACTTATTTCATATTTCCTAGACTGAAAGGATAAGGTCTAAAAATCGAAATTCACCTGTATCTGTCTGTCTGTCTTTCGATAATGCGGTCGAAATGGCCATGGTAACTATGATACAAATGACCAAATAACAGGGTGAGAACAGCTACCATAACTAGTTTCACGTTGGTAAAGACGATCATCAGATGAGTTAAGATCTTCAATTGATTTAAAGAAGAATCAAAAAGATCAAATTCAAATACCGTTGAAAAGTTCAAAGCAAAACCATGAACAAATCCAATGATGAATTCAAATATTTGTTGATAAGGTCTAAAAGAAAGATCAATAACTTGAAGTTGATTCCTTATTCAATACTAACAATTTAATCTCAGGATAGACCATACCTGTGTTCCATATCGTTGTCGATACGCATGCCATTTTTTCTTTAATCGTCTCTTTTGTTTTTTCTCAATTGATACATAAT